TTTTTCAAAGAGGGTGATAAGTTAACATCAACTAGCGTTGTTCAGCATGAAATTAAAACTAATGTTGATAGGCCCCTCTATACAAAAATATATCGCTACCCTCAAATTCATGAAGTAGAAATAGAAAGGCAAATAAAAGAAATGCTCGAACAAAACATAATACGTCCTAGTGACTCTCCATATAATAGCCCTTTGTGGACCGTCCGAAAAAAAATGGATAACTCTGGAGAAAAGAAATGGCGATTAGTCATTGATTACAGGCTACTGAACATGAACACAATAAGAGACAAATTTCCCATACCCAATCTCAATACAATTTTAGATAAACTTGGAAGAGCGCAATATTTTTCAACCATCGATTTGGCGAAGGGCTTTTATCAAATAGAGATCAAAGAATACGACAGGAAAAAAACTGCTTTCTCGACACCATTTGGTCATTACGAATTTGTCAGGATGCCATTTGGCCTAAAAAATGCCCCATCAACCTTCCAAAGGCTATAAATTCAGTCCTTAGAGAATATATAAATAAGATTTGTGTTGTCTATATGGACGATATCCTCATATTCAGCTCATCTTTGCAAGAGCACATAGACAATATAAAAACAATTTTTCGAACTTTGAAAAATGCGAAATTAAAAATACAAATTCACAAATGTGATTTTTTGAAAAAGGAAACACAATTCCTAGGCCATGTGCTAACAACAATGGGAGTAAAACCTGACCCGAGAAAAGTAAAACTGATTCAAGAACTTAGATTACCTACAACCCAAAAGCAAATAAAATCATTTTTAGGCATGACCGGGTTTTACCGAAAATTTCTTAAGGACTACGCAAAAATCGCTGGACCTCTTATCAAATATTTTCAAAAAGACACAACAGTAAATGCTAATAACCCAGATTACATATTAGCATTTGAAAAGCTCAAAGATATTGTAACAAAAGCCCTAATAATGCGATATCCAGACTTTAACAAGCGTTTTAAATTGATAACAGATGCAATGTAGCGCCAGTCTGTCAGGTTGCAAGTAACACCCCAAGAAACGTCAACGCAACACCCCAAGCAACATCAGCCAGCAACATTTAGGCGACGAATCAAGCACTATGCGTGTATCTGCATAGGCAGCACATGTGCATGTATACGTGGTCGGCCGGAACTATGAATGTGTGTG